GTCTCTGCTTTTCACGATGCTGTCCAGATTTGTCATCGCTTTCCTCCCAAGAAGAAGGCGTCTTTTAATTTCAGGGCTGCTGTCTCCATCTGCAGTGATCATGGAGCCCAGGAAGATAAAATTTGACACTGCCTCCATATCTTCCCCTTCTATTTCCCAGGAGGTGATGGGACCAGTGGCCATGATCTTAGTTTTTTTGATGTTGAGTTTCAGACCGTTTTTTGCACTTTCCTCTTTCACTCTCATTACAAGGTTCTTTAATTCCTCCTCACTTTCTGCCATCAGAGTGGTATCATCTGCATATCGGAGGTTGTTGATATTTCTTCCGGCAATCTTAATTCCGGCTTGGGTTTCTTCCAGTCCAGCCTTCCGCATGATGTATTCTGCATATAAGTTAAATAAGCTGGGGGACAATATACAGCCTTGCCGTACTCCTTTCCCAATTTTGAACCACTCAGTTGTTCCATGACCAGTTCTAACTGTTGCTTCCTGTCCCACATATAGGTTTCTCAGGAGATGGATAAGGTGGTCAGGCACTCCCATTTCTTTAAGAACTTGCCATAGTTTGCTGTGGTCCACACAGTCAAAGGCTTTTGCATAGTCAATGAAGCAGAAGTAGATATTTTTCTGGAACTCTCTGGCTTTCTCCATAATCCAGCGCAAGTTAGCAATTTGGTCTCGAGTTCCTCTGCCTCTTCGGAATCCAGCTTGTACTTCTGGGAGTTCTCGGTCCACATACTGCTGAAGCCTACCTTGTAGGATTTTGAGCATAACCTTGCTAGCGTGTGAAATGAGTGCAATTGTACGGTAGTTGGAGCATTCTTTGGCACTGCCTTTCTTTGGGATTGGGATGTAGACTGATCTTTTCCAATCCTCTGGCCACTGTTGAGTTTTCCAAACTTGCTGGCATATTGAATGTAGCACCTTAACAGCATCATCTTTCAAGATTTTAAATAGTTCAATTGGAATGCCATCACCTCCACTGGCCTTGTTGTTAGCCAGGCTTTCTAAGGCCCACTTGACTTCGCTCTCCAGGATGTCTGGCTCAAGGTCAGCAACTACATTGTCTGGGTTGTCCGGGATATCCACATCTTTCTGATATAATTCCTCTGTGTATTCTTGCCACCTCTTCTTGACGTCTTCTGCTTCTGTTAGGTCCTTCCCATTTTTGTCTTTTATCATGTTCATCTTTGCGCAAAATGTTCCTCTAATATGTCCAATTTTCCTGAACAGATCTCTGGTCTTTCCTTTTCTGTTATCTTCCTCTATTTCTTTGCATTGTTCATTTAAGAAGGCCCTCTTGTCTCTCCTTGCTATTCTTTGGAAGTCTGCATTCAAGTTTCTGTAACTTTCCCTATCTCCCTTGCATTTTGCTTCCCTTCTCCTCTCTGCTATTTCTAAGGCCTCGTTGGACAGCCACTTTGCTTTCTTGCATTTCCTTTTCTTTGGGATGGTTTTTGTTGCTGCCTCCTGGACAATGTTACGAGCCTCTATCCAAAGTTCTTCAGGCATTCTGTCCACCAAATCTAGTTCCTTAAATCTGTTCTTTACTTCCACTGTGTATTCATAAGGGATTTGGTTTAGATTATACCTGAGTGGCCCAGTGGTTTTTCCTAATCTCTTCAGTCTAAGCTTGAATTTTGCTATGAGAAGCTGATGATCAGAACCGCAGTCAGCTCCAGGTCTTGTTTTTGCTGACTGTATAGAGCTTCTCCATCTTTGGCTGCAGAGAATATAATCAATCTGATTTCGATATTGCCCATCTGGTGATTTCCATGTATAGAGTCGCCTCTTGTGTACCACTAGGGGGAGATTTTTTTTTTAACCTAAGATGACCTAAGGTTAAAAAAAAGAAGGAAAGGTTTTTTTTTCCCTGTTCTTATCTTGGGTTTTTGTTCTCAAGTAGAAGCAAAATTTAGCAAATGGAGCTGTTCTTAAGTTGGATTGTTCTTAAGTAGGGACGTTCTTAAGTAGAGACCCCACTATACATAATATTTCATAATATTTTTAAATTAGATACTGTGTACTATCTGTATTGTGGTGTACGACATTCATGTGTTTAACCTGCATTATGGACTATTGCAAGAAAGTTTTTGATAGCTTTTCCATCTTCATACCTCATGGAAAGGGGTTTTAGAGCAGTTTCCAATCTTCTTTGCAAAAATAAAGAAGTCATTGCAAATCACTGAATGTGGAGATTTAAAATTATACCTAACTAATTTCAAACCAAATATTGAAAAACTATTATCAGAACATCAGGTTCATCCCTCTCATTAACATCATTAGCTGTGTATTAATTTATTAATTTGACTACGTTCTGATATATTTTTTGTTCCAAGTACAAATATTTAGTTGCATTTTGTGTTTTTTCAATAAAGGTATGAATAAAAATTGTACGTTTTTTCTACACTTGTGCACTCTTTCAAAAAAAACCTTTAAAACACATTTGAAGTAGGTTTAGGAAAATGCGATATTAGGTAGGCAGGGGGTCTACGGAAAACAAAGAAGTTGGCAAGTGGACTACAGGGCAAAAAAGTTTGGGAACCTATGCACTAGAGGAATGGCAAAATATAAATATTTAGAAAAGAAAACATACTCTTAAACTTCATGTACAAGGGCATTATCCACACAGTTGGCCATGGAGCAACTGGAGAATGCAAACTGGTGATATGGGTGGCACTGCCACACTCTGTATTGTGCCACCTGAGTCAACTGCCTCAGTTTGGCTCATGGCCATCGCCTCCAACTCTTTTCCCCGCCTTCACCACCAGTGCCCCCCCGGCTAGAGAAGAACTTCCTTACATCATCCTAGCCCTGTGCTATTTTCTAGAGATGCAAACTGTCCCGGGAACACACCCAATCAGAAAGGATTCTGACCTGCAAATTGTAGCCCTCAGAGTATGACGGGTTAAGGAGGAACTGGGGAGCCTCTCAGGGTGATGCATAAAGTGGGGCATGGTGGACCCCATTTCTTTTTCCTACTTTCTGTTCACATGGATAAGGACTGTAACAGCGATGCAATTTGTAGGCTTTGTTTTAAATATATACCGTATTTTTCGCTCCATAAGACGCACCTTTCCATAAGACGCACCGATTTTTTAGGAGAAGAAAACAGGAAAATATAATCTGTTTTCTTCGCTCCATAAGACGCACAGACTTTCCACCCCCCTGTTTTGTGGGGAAAAAGTGAGTCTTATGGTGCAAAAAATACAGTATTTTTCTGCTACAGCACTAAACTGAAACAGCGTTCATTCATAAGGGCAGAACTACTGTAGGAGCTCACTGGAGGGACAGATCCTGAAGCTGAGGCTCCAATACTTTGGCCATGTCATGAGAAGAGAAGACTCCCTGGAAAAGACCCTGATGTTGGGAAAGTGTGAGGGGAAGAGGAGAAGGGGACGACAGAGGACGAGATGGTTGGACAGTGTCACCGAAGCGACCAGCATAAATTTGACCTAACTCCAGGAGGCAGTGGAAGACAGGAGGGCCTGGCGTGCTCTGGTCCATGGGGTCACAAAGAGTCGGACACGACTTAATGACTAAACAACAACAAAGTGTAGGAGCACAGGGGACAAGGGAAATGTGTGACGTGTGGAGATTTGAAACCCACCCCTTCCCAGGATCATTTCTGTGTGGATGATGACAGCAGTTTCAATGCCAGCATGCGCTATACAGAAGTTTGCCTCTAACCAGGACAGCCTTCCATGTGATCACACCCTGAGATACAGCAAAAATCACATGTAGGTTTTTGGGCAGAAATAACTTTGTGAAAGAAGTTGAGGAATGAGATCGTGTTGTGAGAAGCATGAAATCTAAGAGGCAAGAGGTAATCTGGAAAATTTGAAGCGTTGTTTCCCATACTAGGGAGTGAATCCGATAGGGAAGCATGAAGAAATTCCAAGAGAGGGGTGTGTGTGTGTGTGTATGTGTGTTGGTTTAAATAAACATCTGTGATAGACAGGATTTCTAGAATTCAGGATTTTCTGGAAAACACTATGTGTCCTTATCTCTGAGAAATTTTAAATTTTAAAATATTTATTTTCAGCAACACATTTCAAAATATTCTCCCTGCACGATAGCTTATTATGTCGTTATATTTTATTTTTGCTATATTTTATTTTTGCTTTCTGACTGCTGTCATCATTGGGGGATTCTTGGGGGGGTTCTTTCTTTGATGAGATGTTAATTTGGTGAGGGATTGGGCATTTTTTGTGTTTATACTCTTTTATGTATGCAAGCCACCCGGAGTAGTGGCATGCCAGTAGATGGGCAGGATAAATTTCTAATAAATAAATATATGAGAAATAAATATGTTTAGTTTAAAATATTTTAAAATTCTTATTATTTTTAACGTAAAATAATTTTGTTTAAATGGAAAAGGAAACAGAAAATGGGGTATGACACGGAAAAAATTGTGAATCGTTGCATGAAGGGATTGAGAAGAGCCAAGAAACCATGAGGTGAATGATAACTCATACATCGCCCTTGAAGTTCCTAGTCAATTCTTTGGCTACAGATTTTTAGCAGCATATTTAGGGTAACGCATGATTTCTGTTCATCTGACCTCAGACCAGCACTGGTGAGGATAGTTATTTTTGGATGAGGAAATGGAACTGAGAGAAAAAGGACGAGATTGACAGGGAAAAATGTACCCAGAAGCACCTGACCATTGGAAACCTGAGGTGAATTCTGAACTCATTGATGAAAAGTTGGCCTAAAAATGTATCTGTCTATGTCTGTTCTTAGCAAGTCTAAGCTTTAACAGCCTGCTCTGATTCAGGAGATATATTGCTATGCTGGCATCTTTATGAGCCAATGAGGATACAATACTGAATTGGTGATGACTTTGACCAGGATACAAAGCTATGAAAAGAAAGAAGTAACAAAACATTCTGAACCTCCAGTGCGAAAGCTTGCTAGACCGCGTTCTCTTAATGTTTCTCATTCCTCTGTCTTGCAGCTGTAGCGAAATGTCTTCCGAATACCCAAAGGAGAAGGAAATTGAACCACTCAGCCATTTTGACAAGGTGGGTTTCATGGAATGGCTTGTATTTCTCACCTTCTTCTCTCCTTCTTGCGGGCACTGAGGCTCAGAGCACAGAAAGCTACTTTTACAAAATAAATGGTTGCAGTTAAATCTCCAAACCCCCTCCCTGCCGACAAAAATAGTACAGTGGTGCCTCGGCTTATGAACTTAAAATCCGTCCCAGATGTTCATAAGTCGAAAAGTTCGTAAATCGAATCGGCATTTCCCATAGGAACGCATTGAAAACCAATGAATCTGTTCTGGCTGTTTTTTGTTTGTATGTAGAGTAGAGTAAGTCAAACCATTACTGTAGTTCCCATAGAAACCAATGCAAAACCAGTTAATCTGTCCTCTACCACTAGGGGGAGAATTTTTTTTAACCTAAGATGACTTAGGTTAAAAAAAAGGGCAGGAAAGGAGGGAGGGAGGGAACAAACACCTTTTAAACAAAACATCTTTAAAACCAAGCAGCTTTAAACCAAACCAATCACCTTTTAAACCAATTTTTGCATTTTAAAATTACAGTACCAGGCAGTACTAGGCAGTCCAAAGTGCATTTCCCACTTTTTCAGCTGTTTTTTGTTCGTAAGTCAAAGCTCCGTTTGCAAGTCGAAGCAAAATTATGTGAACAGAGCTGTTCGTAAGTCGAATTGCTCGTTTGTACGGATGTTCATAAGTCGAAGCATCACTTCTCCATTTCTCAAAACTAATTAAATTGTTTAACTAATTGTGTTTGTGTGGGTATAAAACCTATGTATTGAAGGAGCCTTGTGGCACAGTGGTTAAACTGCGATACTACAGCCACAGTTATATATATTGTACCTCATGCTCTGTTGTGAATTCTGAGGTAACAGCAACATGAATGGAAAGTGTTCTGTACCATAGGCTGCAACTTGTTCTCTCTCTCTTTCTCTTGAGTATATATAGGGTATATAAAGTGCACTGCACTTTATATATATATAAGCAGCGCACTTTATATACCCTATACAGTGGTGCCTCGCTTAACGAGCGCACCGTATAACGATTAAATCGCATAGTGATCCGTTTTTTCGGATCGCTAATGCGATCGCACAACGTTTTTCCTATAGGGAAAAATTCGCTTTGCGAAGACCGGTAAGCGTTTCGCTTACCGATCTTCGCAAAACGACCCCCGCCGATCAGCTGTTCGGTGGCCAAAATGGCCGCCGGAAGCCGGGAAATGGCCTAAAATGGCCGCGCGCAGCGTTTTCGCGCCCTCGTTAAGCGAGGCGAGGGCGCGAAAATGGCTGCCGGCCATTAGAAAGCTTCGTTGAACGGTGAGTATTTGGCTCATTTGGAACGCATTAAACCATGTTTAATGCGTTCCAATTGAAATCCCTGCCCCGTTCAACGATGCTTCAGCATAGCGAAGGTTAATCCGGAACAGATTAACCTCGCTATGCGAGGCACCACTGTATATACTCACGAGAAAGAGAGAGAACAAGTTCCAGCCTGTGGTACAGAGCACTTCCCCTTCATGTTGCTGTTACATCAGAATTCACAACAGAGCATGAGGTACAATATATATAACTGTGGCTGTAGTATCGCAGTTTAACCACTGTGCCACAAGGCTCCTTCAATACATAGGTTTTATACCCACACAAACACAATTAGTTAAACAATTTAATTAGTTTTGAGAAATGGAGAAGTGAAAAGTTGCTTTCAAAACCACAGCAATAAAGGTTAATTACAGTGGTGCCTCGACTTACAAACGCCCCTACATAAGAACATTTCGACTTACGAACAAAAAAAAAGCAGGGGAAGCGGGAAATGGACTTTAGACTGCCTGGTATTGCATGGTAATGTAATTTTAAAATGTAAAAATTGGTTTAAAAGGTGATTGGTTTGGTTTAAAGCTGCTTGGTTTTAAAGATGTTTTGTTTAAAAGGTGTTTGTTCCCTCCCTCCCTCCTTTCCTGCCCTTTTTTTTAACCTAAGTCATCTTAGGTTAAAAAAAATTCTCCCCCTAGTGGTAGAGGACAGATTAACTGGTTTTGCATTGGTTTCTATGGGAACTACAGTAATGGTTTGACTTACTCTACTCTACATACAAACAAAAAACAGCCAGAACAGATTCATTGGTTTTCAATGCGTTCCTATGGGAAATGCCGATTCGATTTACGAACTTTTCGACTTATGAACATCTGGGACGGATTTTAAGTTCATAAGCCGAGGCACCACTGTACTATTTTTGTCGGCAGGGAGGGGGTTTGGAGATTTAACTGCAACCATTTATTTTGTAAAAGTAGCTTTCTGTGCTCTAAGCCTCAGTGCCCGCAAGAAGGAGAGAAGAAGGTGAGAAATACAAGCCATTCCATGAAACCCACCTTGTCAAAATGGCTGAGTGGTTCAATTTCCTTCTCCTTTGGGTATTCGGAAGACATTTCGCTACAGCTGCAAGACAGAGGAATGAGAAACATTAAGAGAACGCGGTCTAGCAAGCTTTCGCACTGGAGGGTTATCATGTTTTGTTACTTCTTTCTTTTCATAGCTTTGTATCCTGGTCAAAGTCATCACCAATTCAGTATTGTATCCTCATTGGCTCATAAAGATGCCAGCATAGCTGAAGCAGTTGGGAACCACTATGGTTGAGAACCACTGACCTGGAGAGACCATATTTCACTTTAATGAAATGACCTACCACCTAAGTGATAACCCTAAGCATTTCCCTCTTCTTCCAGATTATCTTGTAACCCTTTAAATACATATATAAGTTAGGTCAGAATTATTATCATCTCCACATCAAGAGCTCTGGAAAAGGTCCTTCCTTGAACTAGGTGTATTGACTGAAGAATGATAAGAGTTTTGGTCCAAAAAATTAGCTTTTCAAGCCTGTGATTTTAGACAACGCTGGTGAAATACCAATTATCTGCTGGAAAAATTCAAATTCCATGCTCAAAATTATGTTACTCTCTTTAGCTGGTGGGTTGGAGAACCACACTTTATCTACTTGGTTTTTCCCTTTGTTGTAAAGAGGCAATAGAGGACCAGGAGCAAGGGAAAGGCAAGAGATCCCATTTAGATGCTGAGCTTGAGAAGAGATCCTCCTGGCTCCAAAATGTTGAACACCCTCTAGACCAGTGGTTCCCAAACTTGGGTCATCAAAGGCTTTGGGAAGTTGCCATCCATGAACATCTGGGGACCCAAGATTGGGAACCACTGCCCTAGGCCTATAATCCAACCTGGGAAATCCAAGTAGTCTCGGTATTAGACCAGTGGTTGTGAAGTTTTTGAATCATACAAAGAAAGAACAATTTTTAAAAGCAATCAAACAAAAACAAGACCAGCTGGTTTATAGGGACAGAAAAATTCAGATTTTCCAGGATCTTTGTAAAGAGACTGTGAAATGGCGAGGATCTATGCAGTCGGTTACAGCAATTCTGAGGAAAAATAACATCAGATATCATTGGGGCTACCCAATTTTTTTGAAAATCTGGAAAGACAAGATTTTGTTTAAAATCCACTCCTGTAGTATATAAGCACCACACTTTGCCCCCCCCCCTTCATAAAGCCTGGCCAGCAGGGACAGTGGGTAGACAATGTGGGAGCCGTAGTCCAAAATATCTCGGTTGGGGAGGGCTGTACTGATTGGAGTCTCATGTTTCATCTCCATGTTCATTGTAGACTGAACCTGTTCTATTTGCGCATTTGATTCTCTAATAGAAATAAGTCACAATCTGGTTCTGTGGGGTTTGTGAATAGCTAAAAGCACTTGCCATTTTCTGCCTATGCAGAAAATGACTATGCTACTGCTTCAAGCATTTATTTTATTTTATTTTTTGCATCATGTCAAGAGTATTCTTGGGGGGCCCTGCACCTTCTGTCTCTTTGCGTTCCCAGGTGTCTCGGCCACATTCGACTACTGTCAGTGCGGTTTTGACCAGCATTGCTTGTAGATGTAAATCACAGGTTGCCAAAAGCTGGTTCACTCAGCTTGGCACAAGCCAACGAAGCCCAATGCAGTTGAGGGGAAGGCAGTAAAAACGAAATGAGGTGAAGGTGAACCGTAACAGCTACTAACAAGGGAAGAAGAGGAAAGTTAATGACAAACGTTTGGAAAAGATGCCTTTTTTCCCCTATCAGATCTGTTTTGGCCCCACACGTTTCCTATTTTCAAAAATGAGTATCAGATTTAGAAAACATTTGGTGCAGCCATATTTTCAATCTCTTTTTGGAATAACTGTTCCAAGACCAGATGGCAGTGGGGGGAAAATTTGCTCTTCAAGCCTTGACTGCTTCTTTTGAGGAAGCTGCCATGCACGGCTGCTTCTTTTATTTGCCTTTATTTCAAAATATATCGATAAATGACTTCCCTCTGAAGATATCGATACAGCATTCGCTAATAACAAAACAAACAGTAAAGAACAATAGATGAGACATGAAGATACTGTACAACATTTATTATCTTACCCAGAAGACAAATGGGCCGAAGGACACCAGGAAGGCTCGCAAACATGGGTGTTTCTTCAAGACATACCCCCAAATAATAATTATTGCAGCAGGTCCAGCATCAAAAGGAGAAGTACTCTTAATCATCATCAACTTAGAACTGCAGAGCTGGAAGGGGCCCCTATGGACCCCCGTCAAGGAGGCACAGTTGGGGAATTGAACTCCCAACCTCTCGCTCCCCAGCCAGCATTCCTTTAGAATAGGGTGAGAAAATGTAGCCAGCCAGATGTTTCGGGGTTACACATTCCAGCAGTATTATTTTCAGGAGTGCTGGCAACTGTAGTCTGTCATCTGGAGGGTCACACTTGACTCACCCAAGGCTAAAACTACATGCTGTGGAAAAACCAGCTTGAATCTGCAGCAACTCCTGTCACAGCACACAATGCCAAGCCCTACTGAGGTTCACAATAGCACCTAATCTTATTCCTTTCTGCTCTGTTTTTTTTTAAGATATACCACCGTTTCAGCTGATACAGGGTTACCCTTTTTTTGCTCTTCCTTGCATTCCCACCCCCGTTAGCCTCTTCCCTTAACCACTGTTGCGTCTTCAATTATTTTTCCTCTTTTTCCCCTCTGTCCATGCATATGGATTTGTAACCCATTTTTCATAAAGTTGTAATTAAAATTAGACGCATCTGAAGATGCTCGTAAACATCTTCTTTTTTAAAAAAAAATGTAGGCATGACATCACATGCCATTCCTGCCATGTGATGTCACAACCACAGCAACAGCATGCAACTGAATTAATACCAAAAAAAAAGGTACAATTTGGGAATGTGTTACAATCTCATAACTGCAGAGCTGAAAGAGATCAGCGAGTCCAGCCCCTGTCAAGGGGGCCCAGTGGGGAATCGAACTCCCAGTCACTGGTTCCTTTCTAAACCAACAATTCAAGCAACATCATGTCAGTTTGTAGCTTTGTTTGTTTGTTTGTTTGTTTGTTTCTCCTTTCTAAACCAGCACTTCAAGCAACATCGTGTCAGTTTGTAGCTTTGTTGTTGAGCTTTGTTGTTGTTGTTTAGTCATTAAGTCATGTCCGACTTTTCGTGACCCCATGGACAAGTGGCTTTGTTGTAGTAATTTAGTCGTTTAGTCGTGGCCGACTCTTCGTAACCCCATGGACCAGAGCACGCCAGGCCCTCCTGTCTTCTACTGCCTCCCGGAGTTTGGTCAAATTCATGCTGGTAGTCTCAATGACACTGTCCAACCCTCTCGTCTCTGTTGTTCCCTTCTCTTCTTGCCTTCCCAGTTTCCCAACATCAGGGTCTTTTCCAGAGAGTCTTCTCTTCTCATGAGATGGCCAAAGTACTGGAGCCTCAGCTTCAGGATCTGTCCTTCCAGTGAGCACTCAGGGTTGATTTCCTTCAGAATGAATAGGTTTGATCTCCTTGCAGTCCAGGGGACTCTCAAGAGCCTCCTCCAGCACCACAATTCAAAAGCATCAATTCTTCGGCGGTCAGCCTTCTTTATGGTCCAGCTCTCACTTCCGTACATCGCTACCGGAAAAACCATAGCTTTGACTATGTGGACCTTTGTCGGCAAGGTGATGTCTCTGCATCTGTTTGTAGCTAATCTATGGCAAATGCACTGTCTTCAGTCCACTGGAAATGGGCAGTTCCAGCTCTGATTTAGGATTAAATCTCTCATTCTCAATAGCTCAGTGGTTTAGGTCCCTGGCTTCAAAGCCAGAGGTTGAGAGTTCGATTCCCTCCTTGTCCCTCCTTGCCAGGGACTGGACTTGATGATCCAGAAGGTCCCTTCCAGCTCTGCAGTTCTAAGGTTATTATTCTGAACAACTCGACAGCAGGCTTCTGGATAACGTGCCTTTGCCAGAAGACCCTCCAGGTGGACAAGGATATATCTATGAAAAGTACAGGATTGCTCAAAGAGGACACACCTGTAGAAGTGTACAATCTCTGTACGTCAGGGTTCTGTTCATCTTCAATTCAGACCCATAAAATCCCCACTTTCCTCTTCTGTGTGGACTTTTCAGGTGGAACAGCAAGAGTCACTGCTTGCCCTGAAGGATGTGATGATCAGCAACTTGGTATCTCGAATCCATGCCCTGGAACACACCACATACGATGGGTGCTTCCTCTGGAAGATCCCTGAGGTGGGGCTTCGGATTCAGGAAGCACAAACGGGAAGCCGGAGAGCACTTTATTCCCCTGGTGAGTAAACTTCAGTGTGTGGTAGAAGGAAACAGAGAAGTGGCTTGTTTTTTTTTTAAAGCACCTGTCAGAAGAGAGCAATCCACAAAAAGGAGGTAGCTCACCTTCACCATTGTTTCCCAATGGGGACCTCAGAGTCTGTAACCAAAGCCTCTGAAATCCTGTGACCAAGAAATTTGAAATTTTGAATGTATCTCATAGTAAAGGAAAATGTTCGTGCTTTAAGAATTTCAGAACAGGGTCATGTTATGAAATAGGGAATGAATGGACGAGAAGCAAGTGCATTTATTTTCCTTTTATATTTTATCAAACCTTGTAGTGAATTTATTATATTTAATACTTATAATTTATAAATATAATTTATTCCTCTATTTTTATATTAGTGATCCTGCGGCAGTAGGCAGGACGTTAATCAAATCTATCTTCGACTTTACCTGATTGTCCTTTCCTTTAACTTGGGTCTGTGATTGATTTCTTGCCCCTGGGATGTACCCCAATGATCCTTAAAAACTACTGGGCATTGCAGGCCATGAACATCTGGGGATTCAAGGTTGGGAACCACTGTAGTAAAAGATGCAATGCGCTGTTCGCCAGCAACGTCAGTTCACTCTGCTGTCCTCCCCAGTTCCATGCAGGCTTTTTGCTGCAGATTCACTGTTGCAGTTGTGACAGTACATTAACAAACACCATCTGCTAAAGGGTCCCATTGCCCAATATTCTTGTACATCATCCGTGTGTATTTTTCTCCCTCTTCATCTCCATAGCATTCTACACCAGTCGCTACGGTTACAAAGTCTGCCTCAAGCTCTTCCTGAATGGAGACGGCACAGGATCTGGAACCCACCTCTCTCTTTTCTTGGTTCTGATGAAAGGGGAATATGATTTCCAACTGAAATGGCCTTTCCAGCATAAGGTAGGGGGCATTTGGTACTGGGTTTACAAGAAAGTCATATAAAGGAGCTTCTTCATACTTCTGAAAAATATGAGGCCTTATTTTAGAAGAGTGGGTGCTCTGACTGTGAAATAGTTATTTGGAGCCTGGATATGGAGTTTTAACAAACGACAGTACCTATGAATTCACTGACTTGCAGTAGCCCTAATAGGCTTTTCAAGGTATGTGAGATATTTAAGGAATGGTTTTACTGGTGCCACCACCCAGTGGATTTCCATGGTTGAACACAATTTGGGACCCATGTCTTCTTGCTCCTAATCTGTCACTCTATCTACTAAACTACATACTCTGGCTCTTCATATACACACCACTAAACAGTCATTTAGGAACCAATTACCTAGGAAGATGGTGAGCACTCCAGTGCCAGAGATACTCAAGAGAAAATTAGACAACCATCTGTCAGATCTGCTTTGACTTGGATTCATGCATTGAGCCAAGTGGGTTGGACTTGGTGGCCTTCTAAGCCCCTTCCAACTCCATTATTCCCTAATTCTGTGAAAGGAGACTACACACGACTGAAGTTGGTCCGCTCTTGATTTGTAGCATCATGGCTCAAGTCCAAATGACAACCTGTATTATGAAATACTGTTCCCCCTCCCCGGTATCTCTGTAGCTCCATCACCAGGAACTTTGTTAGGTTCCAGTTCCAATCAGCCCCACCTAGCATGTTCAGTAGTTGGAGATTAAGGGAGTGGTCATCTAACAACTTATGGAAGAGTAACGATTCTCTGCCCTTGTATTGGCTGAAAATTTCCAAGAGTGAAACTGGGAAACACACCTGATTCTTATTCTCCAGATGTTGTCAGACTTCATTTCCCAGCATCTAGGGTTTCCCCTTCCCAGCCAAAAATGGAGGCTGAATCTCAGTCTCCCTCAATCTGATAAAAGTCCAGTTCAACCACCATAGCAATCTTCCTGTTTGGAAAAATAAGCACCTGTCACTTCCCTATGCAATATACTATGCAGGTACAAGGTATACCACACAGAGGCCTATATTCGCTGAGATTCGAGTTATATCAGTTCCTTTTTGAGGCAGAATTGCACCTTTCAGGCCTTCCCAAACAGTCCTCAGAACAATGCCTCAGACACTACATCACACGGGGTGAGGACCACATGGGAATTTGTTCCTCTATGTGGTCTGCTCTGAGGACAGACTGATTCTCTCTTTTTCCTAGCAAGAGTGCAATGTAAGCACCAGCATGAATTAGCCTGTCCCCATGGCTTTCCTGTTACATCTTTCTGGCTCCCTGTCAGGGGCTACTCTATTTTAGGCGCAGGTAGTATCACTCCGTTTAGGGTCATTTCCAGCACATGCGATCACTGGAACCAAATCAAAATGGACGGCTTGCTGTTTTAAATTTCCCAATATCATTAATACAAATGCAGAAGAAGGTGATACCTTTATTAGACGACTAAAAACATTGAACAATCAATGCCAGCTTTTGTGAATTAAAAACCACTTCTTCAGGCATACACCAGTATCTTGTGGATAGTGCAGAAAAATTGTAAATAAATGTCTCAGAAATTTATGGCTTTGTGCAATGGGAAAATGAGGGGGGGGGTGAAGTGTTTTCCTTTTTTTAAAAGCCTAGCTAGGGCAGTGGTGATGCACTGTACCTTTTAGGAGGGAAATTGAAAACTTCCTCCTGGAAATTTGAAAATTTCCTCCTGGAAAGAGAAGACAGGAAGGGGCATCTTTTTGTTTGTTTTCTTATTTCTTTCCCTTTAAGTGAGCCAAATAGAGCGCATATGCTTTGTGGATGCAAGGATTGCACTGAATGGCATACTGCACATCTATGCAAGCTTATGCAGCCTGCTCCAGTATAGCCATCTAGCCAAGCTTACATGCAGAAGAGAAACCTTTGCCTTCTTCTCCAACACATGACCATGGATGTGGGTGCAGTAAATTTTTGAACCAAGCTACTCTTGTTCCATGAGGAACATGGACTGGGCCTCATGATTCTTTTAGAAAATTACAGTCTATCTGGTACTTGTAGCAAAGGCATGTCATTAGCTATCTTCTTTTCATCAGGTCACATTCACTCTCCTGGATCAAGTCAACAAGCATCACGTCTCATCCTCATTCGTTCCCTTGGAGTCTTCCTCCTCATTCCAGCGGCCTGTGAATGAAACCAATGTTGCCAGTGGCCTTCCTGAGTTCTGTCCCTTGAATCTACTCCACCGCCCCCAGACTACCTATATCTGCAATGACGTGTTAGCCATTCAAGCAGTGATCAACACAAAGGCTTAGGACTGGGGTGACTTTGACCCTTTGGGAAATGGCAATAACGGACTACTGTACCTGACAATTGTTGAGAGACAGCTGGCTAGTTTCAAAATGATTGTCAAGAGAGAGAAAGAACCACTGCTTTCTTCATGGTCTCAACTGAAGGCAGGTTTTGGAAGCATTTCCCCCCTAACTCCCTCCCCATATACTCACGACAACTGTCCTGAAGAGTCATGGTAGAACTGCAGGGTGATAGCTCACACACAGAAAAAAGAGGCCTAGGATTGGATCCAAATGAGTGTTTTTCTTAGTACAGACCCACTGCAGGGCCTTTTTGGTGGGGGCCCTTGGCCACGTCAACATTCTTCTCTTTGAAAGCATCAGTGAGGCCCATAAAGCTAAGTGGGAAATGACCCAACCAACCAACTCTGCCAGTGGCAACAGCATCCTTTTGCCATGAGAGCACAAGCAAAATGGTTGTGCCTGTGGACAGTGCTGAGAAAGCAAAAACCTACTCCCAGACAAACCATAGCCTGATTTCTCATTACTGTATATGTATATCCCTTTTTAAAATCCAAGACTGGACCATTCTTCTCAAAATAATGGTACATTGGAAAGAGATGCAGAAACTTTGGTGACAACCTACTTATTGTCTCTGTCCTCTGGATAATGTCCTTTATTCCTTAGATGCAGCAGAACGTTGGGTCCCCAATTGGGGGACTTGCCTTTATTGAAAACAAATTATATTCCACAATGGGACATCCAAGACTATTGTTATTATCTGCTCTATCTACAGAATGGGATCTTCTTCTGAAAGAAATACCTATTGGAATACATAATCTTAGAATTTGCTGACAAAAGATAGTTTTTAAAATAATCTGAACACAGAATGTAAAAGTATTTTCTTTAGGTCATAAACTCTTAATATTCTGATGCCAAATATAGTTTTTTTAAAGTACTGCATGCATATTTACATTTTTCCTCAGCTGACAAGAAAAAAATGACACAAACACACAAGATTCTGCATGAAGGGGGTGAGGGTCTCAAATGAACACTCCTGACCTGAGATCCTCAGTCTCCTAAAAGGCCCAGACCCACTAAAATCTTGACTAACTAACTTATAAGCAACTGCTCATACTTATAAAAACTTATTAATTTATTGCAAAAGCTGTGTACAGAAATAAGTGTTTTGGGTGGAAATTTCTTCCAATATTTTGGCACTTCTTTGACACATGAACAGCTGAACCTGTGGATCTGCTGCCTGTGATATTGGATGATCCTGAGAACTTTATCAAGAGAAAGTGGCAACTTGGCAAGCTTGCTAAACAGAAGGGAGGTTGGCGACATGAAAAGAGGAACACAGATGGCCATTTGCTAAACCTGTGATTGGATCCTCAGAGATACTAGCTATGTACCCGATGCTGGCTCTCCGTTTGGGATTGATGACTAGCCAGACAACATATAAACAGTATATGTATATATCAACCGTGAGGCTAACAGGAAAGCATAGACGGACACCATCTACTGCACTTCAAGGAACGGCAAGACCAAAATTGTTCTTCCTGTCCCCACAGTAATTATCTTGAAGTGTCATAAAGGAGCTGCATTTCCATTCTTACTAAAACTAGTTCATTGTCTAGTCTTTCTTCCAAAATATCTTATTTTTCTATGAAACCAGGAGGGCTGGGTTTTTCTACTCCCTATTTCATGAAAGATGCCCCTAAGTATGTCAGACTCAATAGCACATTCTTGATACACACACACAAACACACACACACGCACACTCCCTATTTCATGAAAGATGCCCCTATATATGTCAGACTCAATAGCGCATTCTTGATACACACACACACACATGCTCCTTATAGTATCTGCATGTACAAGCTCCATTTTGCTAATAAGCTTTTTCCTTATAGTATTTGTACGTACAAGCTCCATTTTGCTAATAAGCTTTTTATGCGGCAAATACTTTCTCTCCCTCTCCTCTCTTCCACTAATAAATACTTTATAATTCTGTTATTCTCAGTCTCGCTACACTCACGGAAGCCATTTGGATAGAATCAAAGAAGACATTTTACACCTAGGTCTTTTGAGAAGAACATGTTTGATGTCTTACTTGGAAGTACTTTTCAAAATGGGGAGACGCCTAGCCTCTACACGGGGCAAATCAGTACCATACTTGACCCTCTGAACCAAACGCAGCTTACAGATCATGTATTATGGTCTCTGAAGGGTTGTTCCCAAGACATCCACTGGCCATCTGGGGCTGCAAGAAGGAAGCTATTGAGCACCTGCCGACCATATGTAACCAGCAGGCCCTGTTTGATGTGGCAGGTCATAGGTATTGCAGTCTTGATGTACTCTAGGGCTGGGGGGGGGACATTTTGCTGCCTGAGGAAAAGAAGATGATGATGTCTCTCACCATCATCTTCTTTGTATAAAACCTGACTGGACAAACAGATCGATTCTTCAATGCTGATGATTCAACAGTGTCCACCACAGCGCTGAAGGCAGTCGGTTAACTTTGTGAATGAAGAGGGGGCTGGGCTGTACACACCTCTCCATTCCAATACTTTGGAGCTCCATGATTTTCTCCCTCTGCCAAAACATTTGTTTAGTTGTTAAGTTGTGTCCGACTCTTCGTGACCCCATGGACCAGAGCATGCCAGGCCCTCCTGTCTTCCACTGCCTCCCAGAGTTGGGTCAAATCCATGTTGGTCGCTTCGATGACACTGTCCAGCCATCTCGTCCTCTGTCGTCCCCTTCTCCTCTTGCCTTCACACTTTCCTAACATCAGGGTCTTTTCCAGGGAGTCCTCTCTTCTCATGAGATGGCCAAAACATAGGCCTCACCCATGGCAACAAGCATGGAAAGGTTCCATTTCTGAAAAAGAGGTGTTTAAGGTGACTTCCAATAAAGATCTGCTGCCGACTTAGTGGCTGGCTGTACATAGGGACAGCCTATAGGCTACTGGAAGAAGAAACTCCATCTCTGTGACAGTGTTGCTTCCCAAGGCCTCACCCATGGCAGCAAGCATAGAAAGCATCCATTTCTGAAAAAGAGGTATTTAAGGTGACGTCCAAATATAGATCTGCTGCCGACTTAGTGGCTGGCTGTGGGGCAGAGATTTTTAAATGGATTGTTGTGCCTTGTTGCTTTGTACTTGTTTTTGGTGTGGATTCTGTTTACTGTTTCCATGTGGTATTTGTTGATTCTTTTGTAATATTTGTATATTTACTGTTTTTTTAGCTTATAAATATTATCTTCTACTGATGAAAGTTGCCTTGGGTTCTTTTTAAGAAGAAAGACAGGGTAAAAATAGTTGAAATAGCTTCATTAACACATTTCAAGTGGCTTGGACCCCAAATTCTTGGGTTCTTTTTAAGAAGAAAGATAGGGTAAAAATAGTTGAAATAAATCAGCTTCATAAACACATTTCAAGTGGCTTGGACCCCAAATTTCAACAATATATCCATGTAACATAACAATTACTGGTCAGAATCCTATTGTCTATTTGTGCCTGCATAAAGGAAATTGCTTAAGTCTTGATCGCAAATTGCCATTCATGAACAAGGTGCTGGTTGTGTTCTTGAGCACGCCCGGGAACGCAACCAGCACCTCCCTAATAAGCAGCAGTTTGCTGCCAAGACTTACATGAGTTCCCTTATTCAAACAAAAGTCAACAAAATTCTAGCTTTACATTCTTTCCTTTGCTCCTTTTAGTTGTTACAGGATCCACAATTCAATACAGTATCATAAATTTATAACTAGAATTGGAATAAATTGTTTTCCCTCCAAATTATTATTGCATTAAAGCAGGGCATAGCTGACAGGCTTAAGAGCCCAATATCCAAACACATGAACAAAAGAAAAATTAACCAAGATCTGGAGTTGGTTCAGTCTTTTTTTAATTATTATTTTTAATTGATTTCACAAGAGATTAAAGAGGCAGTAAGTGAATCTAAAAGTCTACTTCTGTCATTATGCCTATTCCCCAACAGAGGGCACTCCCTCTACAGCTTTCAAAAACATTCCTACTAACACCCCCTAACTAAGTTACAAAAACACATACACAGTGCCTGAGGAGGAAGCAGCTTTCCACAGAAATGCCGTTATGTTTGCAACGCTGCTCCTCCATGACTGCTTGAACCCTACAGAGACACAGAGAGGTTGTCTGTTGCAATGGCAGTGGGGGAAACAATCGGTTTTGAGTCTGGGGTTTCGGGAGAGTTGATCTAATCGAATTCCCCATCCCCAAACTGCAGCACCAGAGAGAGATGTACGTAGCAGGCCAGGAGATCATACAAGATAGCCTTTATTAAAGCAAGAATCAGAAACATGTGGCCCTCCAGATGTGGTTGGCCTGCGGTTTCCATCAGCCCTCACCATCGGTCAGGCTGAGCTGTTGGGAACTGCAGTCCAACAGTATCAGGAACACTGCGATTTAAAGATTCTTGGATAATCGCGTTAGAGGAGAAAGGTTTTAAAGTAGAGTGCAGTAGAGAAGTCTTCCTGTATCTTGCACGGAGCTGTCAAAGCAATGGCATTTGCAAATGGGCAAACAGGACCTCCTCTACATCTCTCATAATACTGGAATCATCATCCCACTGGGTGAACAAAGCAGCACGGGCTGAACCAGACCACCAGACAAATGCTGCTTGTAACATCACACACGGTGGGGGCTTCCACTACAAGATTTTCTTCTGCTCCCCTTTGTTAACATGGGCTTGTAAGAGAGAAGAAGAGAGAGGGGGAGAAGCCGATCTATTTTGGCTGCCACCATGGGTGCAGGGCTTCCATTATGGACATCTCTGATGTTTCTTCCAAGATGTCCTCCCGCCCAGAGAAACAATGTGCAAAACATGACACATGCAATGCTGTTGTCCGTGGTCCACACCGAGAACCATACTAAGAAGCGGTGATGGTTGGCGGAATTGCTACAGCTTCTGATCTTCCACTATGGTCCTTCTTCGGCATGACCTACCTATTCTGGAGATAATTGTCTTTCTAAAAGATACACCACAGTAGGCAGAAGCAGAAAATAAAGAGATTGGTGGGACTCCATGGAAAATCCCAAGTAAAGAACAGGAGAAGCAACAGAAAAGAAAAAAAAAGTAAGGCCGGCCAAATCAGCAAGTTTGAAAGAAAGAGAGAGAGAGAGAAGTGTCGTCGCCTCACAAAGAAAGCAGGGAAGTCACTTTGCACACAGGGTTCTTGTTTTTTTTTTTTTTAAGGAACTATGAGAACCTGCATTTTTTATGGGGTTCAATAGAGGCACTAGATCTCCAGCTTCTTGTTGATGAGAAGAGAGCAGGAACTGAGAGTCCCACCAAGTTTGGCTACCTCAGTGCAAGCAGCAGGGATGAGGGTGTAGTCTGGAAGTTTCTGGAAGGGCTAGAGAGAGAGAAAAGAGAGAGAGACAGAAAGGTGTTAGCTCTCCTTCCAGATATAAAGGTTCTGAATTCTACCGCTGCACAGACCAAGCCATACCAGAATTCATGAAAACAATGGAAGGCTCTTTATTTTTCTCTTCTTGATAGAGTGACTCAGATCCCTCAAATACCAACCTTTCATTCACTGCGCAATTAAACAAGTAGCCACCACCACTCACGTGACTAATTCTGCTAATTGTACTCATGGATTTGGCCCAAATTTATCTGAGGCCCTGCCCTAACAAAACCCACATATATCCTCATAAACCACATCATCTCCTCCACTTAAATGCATTAACCCTTAACACTCCCCTCCATAAGCTATCCCTTTCACCTTGTTGTGGTTACGGGCCATCGATTTGGAACCAATTTATAATGGTCCCCATAGGGTTTTTGAGATATTTAGGGATTCGTTTTGACACTTCCATCGTCTGTGAGTTTCAATGGAAAAGTGGGGGTTTTAATCCAGGTCTCTCGATTCCTAGTCCCCATGCTTATCCACTATCCCACACTGGGTATTCCCTTCCTCTTACTTGCACACTATTAGGATACTCTTCTGCACTGCGATGCAAAAGGATGCTGCTCTTCTGGCCAAGCCGGGCATAGATGCAATTAGCAGCTGGATCGTCAGGCACCGTCAACGTTTCATAGTGGTGATCTGTTAACTGTTCCATGGTCTTCAGGACAAAGACAGGGAGGGAAAGAGAGAGAATCTGAATCATCAGGAGATCTCTATAAAATGCAAAGCTCAACTAGCCTGACCTTATGGTGGCCATCTCCAAGATACTGCCAGATTCATGAGAGAAACAGCTAACCCTTGTTATAATTTCCAAAAAGGTGCCCAGAAAAATAACTAGGCCATAGAAATTTTTACTAGACTGCCAGGTGTTTAGGAAAGGAGAAATTAATCCTTTTCATCTTTCTACAGTGGCCCTCTTAGATTTTCTTTGCTAGGCAAAGAGGACAGACTTCCCTTGTCTGCCAGCTTCCTTGGTTTGTCTGATGCACCTAGACAGAGCCCTCCCTTCCTGCTCTGCTGACTCGCCTCCACAGAATTCTTTTCCCCTGCATGGAATTAATTCCTTAAAAGCAAGAGTGGTCTACATTTCCAGGGAGGCTCTTGAGCTGGGCTGACAGAAGGTAGATCTAAGTCCCCTACGGTTCCTTTCAGAAGGGCCCTCCAGGTGATTTTTTAAGGGTTACCTTCATGGCTTTCTTCGCCACATGACTGCTGCCAATGATGACCGTGTCGGACCCAGCCATGCTGCAGAAGTTGCAGAGGTGTGATGTGCCTGAGATGGGAACGGTAGATACAGCAAAATCCTGCAAAGAGACAAACGGTGCTTAGGCTTCCAAATGCTGGTCAGCTACCGCCAGGAGTTCCTCTGCTTCATCCCCTCCTCTCCAGAATAGGATCCCATCCATGCCCTCAATAGGAACACTGAATACAAAACAATATTCCCCATCTGGGTGCCTTCCAGATGTGTTCGGCTCTTGGCACCACCAGCAAGGCAAAGGAAAACACTGTCCGGTGATGACAGGAGCTATAGTGCACGCCTCCCTCCCCCCAAAAAAAGTGGTTCACCATGGAAAGCTGTGAACTAAAGCGATGCCCGGAAGTGAAATCAACCTTTTCCAGAAAAAAGGATAAAGAAAAGAGTAGGAAGAGGAAATGTAAATAAGAAAACCAAGTTTCTAGAAAGATTTTCAACAAGGAAATGCCACCGTGAAGTAAAATTCTGCTGTAATTTCTCCCTGACTAAATATACGAGGACTGAAGATGATGAGCCGGATTGGAAAGCCCATGTTTATTTATTTATTATTTATTTCCTTTATTTATATACTGCCCCATTAGTGCCAGGGTACTATTCCAGGCAGCTAACAAACTAAAATCAACAATGAGCAACTAATGAAATGAAACAGAACAGAATAGAATTCAAACGAAAATACCAAGGTAAAGCAGCGCTTATAAGATATGAAAAGTGATAAAATGGTGACTTGGCAAGGCCATGTTAAAAGATCATGACAGGCTGTCATTAAACGCTTTTCTAAAGAGATCTATCTTTAGCAGCTTCTTAAAGGTAGGCGAAAGCAGTACTAAAGGAAGCAGAATGTGTCCTTCCCTCCACCAGATATTATTGGCCTAGGGACTGCCATCAGCTCCAGCCTGCATGAGCAACAGATAAGGATGACAACAGTAGAATGCAAAGGATGCCTAACAAGCCATCAATCCCCACCCATGAACCATTCAGAAATGTTTCTTCCTGTTATATATCTGCTTTCAGAAGAGCCAGGAAGCAGTTGTTTCCAGTCTGGAGTTCATCCAGTATGCTAAAGGCAAGGTTTTAAGATAGCAAAGGTATAGATAGGGCATTGGGGCCTTACCGCCAAGATTTCAGAGGAGCCTAGAGGTATAAAATCATAGATTTGAAAAAAGACCAAAATGGTGAGCTAATGCCAGTGGTTCTCAGCCTTGAGTCCTCAAATGTTCTTGTAATAAAACTCCTAGAAGCCCTTCACCACTAGCTGTGCTGGCCAGGATTTCTGGGAATTGTAGTCCCCAAACATCAGTGGTTCCAAGGTTGGGGAACCACTGACCTAGTGCAATCTATTTAGAAAACCAAGGATGTCTTCAAAGCAAACTCCGGAGTTCCTCAGTGAGAAGATCAGCTATGGCAGATTAGTGCTGTCGAAAGATGAACCGACTAATATTATCAAACTATCCTTTTACAATGTACATTTCCAAGGAATTACTAATGTTGTTCTAGGGCAGTGATTCCCAACTCCCAGAAATCCTGGCCAGCAAAGCTAGCAGCAAAGGCTTCTGGGAGTTGTAGTCCAAGAACATCTGGGGACCCACGACTGGAAGCCGCTGTTCTACAGTATGCTTTTCGTCCACACAGAACACGGAGGCCCAACAGGCCATCTTTCCATTTCCTCCATATGAAATGAATATACACCCCTGCACAAACGTTTCGCAGTCTGGGGGCCCTCTGTGTATCTCGGACTACAACTCCCATGCTGTCTCAAGCTGGCGGGAACGGCAGTCCACCCTACATAGAAGCCACAAGATTGATGAGGAGAAGTGTCCCAGAATGCTCTATAGAAACTCCTTGGAGGATAGGTCTGGGTGGAAAGAAACCTTGGGAAGAACCATCTTAATTTATTTTAGCATTAGAATGTCCTGACACATAGACCCAGTTCATACTTCATGGGGATGAACGGAGGAGAAGGAGAAAAAGGACAACCTAAAACCAACATTAGATGGGTAAGAATTTTAAAGATGTGCGTTGGGTCAAGGAAAGTGTTCAGTTTTAAGATTCCAGCTTACCCTGAAAGCATCAGCCACCATCTCTGCTCCTCTGTGATTAGTAGAAGCGTCCCAGAATGCTCTATAGAAACTCCTTGGAGGATAGGTCTGGGTGGAAAGAAACCTTGGAAAGAACCATCTTATTTTATTTTAGCATTAGAATGTTCTCACATAGTATAGACCCAGTTCATACTTCATGGGGATGAACTGAGGAGAAGGAGAAAAAGGACAACCTAAAACCAACATTAGATGGGTAAGAATTTTAAAGATGTGCGTTGGGTCAAGGAAAGTGTTCAGTTTTAAGATTCCAGCTTACCCTGAAAGCATCAGCCACCATCTCTGCTCCTCTGTGATTAGTCCACTTGGAAATCCCCACAAAGAACTCTCTACCTGCAAAAGGAGTGGGATAGACCACAGCCATCACTATTTAAGACACCAAGAGACAAGCTTGAAGACATCTGGCCTACAAGTTACCAATAACCATCAGAGTCAGCCCACCATCTACTGCCACCTCATGCAGCCATTCTCAAACTTGGAGGGGGGGGACATGGACATAAACAAAATATGAAAGAAATACTGGCTGAGTCAGGGCTGTAGAAGTCACATAACAAACCTTATAAGTTGGTGTGTGAAGAATTGTTTTCAGTCTGTGGCCCCTTCAAAATGTGCCAGCCCCCCCCAAGGGGGGACATATGGCCCCCGTTGAGAGCAATGATCTAGTGCACAATAGCAAAAAGAGCTCCCTCCCCCCCAAAAAAAGACACAACATTAGGGTGCAAAGTACCCAAACCCAGTTATTTTGGCATGTAAGGCAGAAAATCCCATTATGTGCCTCTTCCCATCTCTAGCAAGTAGAAAGGAAGTAGCGAGAAAATGGACAGAACTAAGAATCGGCTCCCCTTTCACGCCAGCTGAAACCTGCCATCTAAAGTGGCTCCTTCATTCTGCCTCCGTAGGGCCAGCCTTGGTCACTCCGTTGGCTGCTCTCCTTCTTGCTTTGATTATGATTGGATAAAAGGATATTTGGGAAGAACAAGGGAGAGCATTATTTGAGCCATAGTTCAGATCTAAAATAAGGGATGTGGTGGCGCTGTGGGCTAAACCGCAGAAGCCTGTGCTGCAGGGCCAGAAGACCAGCAGTCATAAGATCAAATCCACGCCACAGAGTGAGCGCCCCTCACTTGTCCCAGCTCCCGCCAACCTTGCGGTTCGAAAGCGTGCAAATGCAAGTAGATCAATAGGGACCACCTCTGTGGGAAGGTAACAGCGTTCCGTGTCTAAGTCGCACTGGCCATGTGACCACGGAAGACTGTCTTCGGACAAAACACTGGTTCTATGGCTTGGAAACAGGGATGAGAACCGCCCCCTAGAGTCGAACACGACTGGACAAAAATTGTCAAGGGGAACCTTTACCTTTACCTTCACATCTAAAACATGTTTTTTAAAATGACAATGTTCAACCCTGGATATGAAGATCCAATCAAAAGGAGTGCCTCTGAGCGTATATGAAACCTGTTTCCCTCGCTACTCACTGCACGCATCTGTGAGTGGAGGGTGTGACTTCCAGGGAGCGTTGAGTTTCTTTTGCTTTGCTTTGTAAAGAAATCAACCCACCTTGTAGGTGGGGGTGTAAACTGTCATTGAAATCATTTCAAGCTTTCCAGTGCCCTCTAGGTTACAATTATCATCATCATCAACCAGTTACACAGCATTAACAGTAAGTAAAGCGATCGATAAGGGGGGGGGAATACCCCGTTGATGCATTTAACATTGCAAGTCTAAGAGCTGGAACAGGCTTTTCAGCTCCAAATCTAATCCCTCTGTTTACAGGATCTCTCCCTCTCCAGAATAAAGACTGACATCCCATCATGGAGGGATCATTTACCTGTAAAAAGTACATCACTTCCATCCAAGGTAGCTCCTTCATCTGTAACCTCTACTACACGTAGTTTTAGTTCCTCCAAGACCTTTTTGACGCTGCTGATCTGGGAGAAGGGGGACAAAGAGAGCGAGCGAGAGAGAGAGAATTAGAGAGATGGAAATTTCACATAGGTCAGGAGACTCGTGCATTAATTTTCCTCATGTATTCCCCCATCCCCCGCCTAGAGTGGTCTATCGACTAGATAGGCGGGATATAAATAAATTAAATAAATAAATAAATACATGTAGAGTACGACGGATGGGAAATATATGTCTCTCCATGTAGACTTCCACCAAATGGCCTCCCAACAATAACCTTGACTTATCACTACTAAGTAGGTTTCAGAGGCCTGCCGGTATGAGCAGCGCACACAAAATGGGTTCCACATTGAAAGCCCTCTTAACCTCTCCACACGTCGGCTATCTCAGAGGGCAAGCTTTTCAGGTTTCGCCGCTCACTGGAGGGATTTATTCCATAGCAGTGCCACCAACAAAACAAAACAAAACCAGCATACAAAGACCACAATCAGCTTATCTCAACCTGAATTATTATGTTATGTGGCTCTGGGGTTGGGTTGAGTTTTATTCTGCTGCTGTTTTAAACATTTTTTTGAGAGTGGCTGGATGGTTACACTTCACTGTGCTTCTGTGTAATTTTGCGGTTTGTTTTGCGAACTGCCCTCAGAGCTTTGGCTGCCAGACAATGCAGAAATGTAACAAAGAAATACTGTACAATGAACAGTACAGTAACACCCAAAGAGAACTATTCCAATGACTCATTGACAAGGCTTAGCATGTCACCACTGTTCTTGTTTGGGCAGGGACATCAACACACATGTTCTTAACAGCGGAACATACACAAAATATGGGAGAGTGCTGCTCCAGGGTGCAACAAAGGGAGGGGCAGGGGAAGAAGAATAAAACTATTATGAAAAGGTTTACGGAGAAAGGAAGACAACGCAAACAAAAATGAGATCCTCAGAAGAAGAGCTGTTTCGTGTCCCATGATCTATGATCTCCCAAGGAAAGTAAAACTAGCGTCAACCCTCTTGAGTGTCTTGTGGGCCAACAGAACGATATTACACTAAAAAGCTTTCAGTCCTTATATCCAGGACTGAAAATCTGCCTTTAACGGGTATTTTTAAATTACCTTTAAATTAACTTAAATTTTTAAATTACCTTAAATTAACTTAAATTTCACATAGGTCAGGAGACTCGTGCATTAATTTTGCTTGTTTGTTTGTTTAGAAAAATAATGTCTTCCACATGTGGTTCATAGTTCTAATTTGTTGATTTTGCATTGCCTTGAGATTCTTAGTGGGCAGGAAAGCCATTAAAAACACTTTTAAAATAAAATAAAATAAATGGCAACGAGCAAGAGTGAGTCCACGTCACTTGCTGCTTGAGGCAAGCCACCATATTGTAGCCATCCCCAGCTCACCTACGTCCAGGTAGGTGAGCTGGGGGTGGATCATTTTTAAGACGATCATCATCATCTTAAAAGTGCACAGCTGGAAGGGACCCTTATGGATCATATAGTTCAGTCCCTGTCTAGGAGGCACAGTGGGGAATCCCAACCTCTGGCTCCACAGCCAGAGACCTAAACCACTGAGCTATCCAGCCGTTGCAAAGCCCATTTCATTATTTTGGCATCTGAGACAGAGAACCCCACAAGTGCCCCCCTACCCCAACTCTCTGGCAGTGAAAATGCTACCATTGTGTAGGCATCCTTCAGTCTCGAGAGACTATGGTATCGTGCTCTGTATGGAGGTCTTGGAACAGTGTCTAGTGTGGCTGAGAAGGCCAATTCGAGAGTGACAATCCCTTCCACACTGAAGACAAATCCAATCTGTCCCCTGTCTGGCTCCCTGGTTTTGCTTGTTTCGGGACTGCCTCTTTGCCTTGGTCTGCTGTACAAGTGTCTCTTCAAATTGGGAGAGGCCGTGATGCACCCCCTGCCTCCAGGCTGAACGCCATCGTTCTAGGACTACTCTATTTGGAACTTTGTCCTGCCAGGTGATACCAAAAATGTGTCGGAGACAACGCATATGGAAGGTGTTCAGCTTCCTCTCCTGCCGTGCACAAAGGGTCCAGGACTCGCTGCAGTATAGCAGTGTGCTCAGGACACAGGCTTTACAGACCTGGATTTTGGTGTATGCCGTCAACTTCTTATTAAGCCATACTCTCTTTGTGAGTCTAGAGAACATGGTAGCTGCTTTCCCAATGCGAAAATGCTACAACAAGTCATTAATGAACAAGGGGCTGCCTTTTTATAACATTCAAAACCTGCCGCCTGAATCAACCACCCCACTCTACCCAACAACAGGGCCGAGCCTGCTGCAGTTTATCTCCATCCCACACCAACACCATCAACTGCGGGTCTCTTCAAAAGCAATTGCCAGTAACCGTTAACCTCCATGACTAATCCAAGCAGCAACTAGAATCAAATGCCAAATGTGGAGAGCTGGGCTGGGCAGAGAGGAAGGCGGGGGGGCAGCTTCTTCTACTAAGGCTTTTTCTTTGCAAATCCAAGCCCCCCCTTTCACCCCACTGATTGTTCAGAAAAAATAGGCGGATGGGAAACTTTCCCTCATGACAGACAGACATACGAGGAATTCCACAGAGGCCGAGATTCTCATCTGTGGGTTGGGCATGAATGCCAGAGACCAAGCCGGGATGTATGACCTTTAATTCGATCTATCCTTGTATTTCATCCTCATTCCACAGAGACTCCTGGGCCGTTCTTATTTTACAGATGATTCAGAAACCCCATCGCATCCCTTGGCACATGTGATTTTTAATTTAATTTCTATAGATCTGCTCCACTGTTGAGCTGACAGTGCCAAAGCTGTTCTTTGTATTGAATCTGGGATTTGGTTGTTAAGACACTCCTCTTGTATTTGCTGTAGCTTTAACTTTACCTTCATGATATTTCTGTTTCAGAAATCTATTGCGTTTTCCCCTGTATCCCAAATGTTTACACATAAGACAGCCGACATGCTGTTAATGTAGACACAATATCTTTTTAAAAATTTAAACATTTTTAAAAGATCTTTTAAAAAGACATATACCTCTTCTATTAAGAAAGTATAAGACTTCAGGAACACACCTTTAGTGGGACCAAGACTAAGACACACAAGATTACATTTCTTAAGAAGATCCCATTTCCATATAAGAAATTTCTTTTGTTCCATATGTAAACAGTAACATCACATATGGTGCCCCCATTTGGGCCTTATTTTACACTGCATACAGAGTAAAGCAGACAACTTCCAATTTTGACCCTCACTATGTGTAAAGGGACATGCTGGCGCTGCAGGTTATACTGCAGAAGCCTCTGTGCTGCAAGGTCAGAAGATCAGCAGCCGTAAGATCGAATCCACACAATGGAGTGAGTTCCCATCGCTCGTCCCAGCTCCCGCCAACCTAGCAGTTCGAAAGCATGTAAATGCGAGTAGATAAATAGGTACCACCACGGTGGGAAGGTAATGGTGTTCTGTGTCTAGTCGGGCTGGCCACGTGACCATGGAAACTGTCTATGGAAAAACGCTGGCTCCGTGGCTTGGAAACGGGGATGAGCACCACGCCCTAGAGTCGGACATGACTGAACTAAATGTCAAGGGGAACCTTTCCCTTACGTGTAAAGAGGTGAAAGAAAACATGGCGGTCTATCTCCAGTCTGTGTGAAAAAACTGACTGGCAACTGGCTCTCACTTAAATATGAAAGTGGGATGTTGCCCTCACCAAATGGGAAACAGCATGCTTGTTCAAACAGCCCAGTATACAGTGGGGTCTTGACTTGAGAACTTAATCCGTATTGGAAGGCGGTTCTCAAGTCAAAAAGTTCTCAGGTCAAATCTGCATTTCCCATAGGAATGCATTGAAAACCATTTGATCCGTATCTGCTCTTTTCCGTCCATAGAAGCTAATGGGAAGCTGCTATTCCGCCTTCGACCACTAGAAGGGGATATTTTATTTCTTTTTTTCTTAGGTCAAGAAAGGTTCAGGGAAGGCAGGGAAAGTACAGTCCAGGTAGTACCAGGCAGTCTGAAGACTCCCAATCCACTCTCTAAATGCTGGGAGGAGTGAGGAAGCAGACAGGCACCCTTTTCACTGGCCAACAGTTAACTGAAAGTTCAAATTTTGCACTTTCCCTGCCTCCCACGTGGTTTTTTTAGTTCTTAACTCAAATCTAAGTATGTAAGTCAAGTCAATATTTTCCTTTGAGAGCGGTTCTTAAGTCAAAATGTTCTTAACTCGAGCCGTTCTTAAGTCAAGACCCCACTGTAGATTGTGTGGCATACATGGCCCTGCCTTCTACCCTTGTGAAGGAGAGGGAACCAGTGTGCCGTCCTCCATGGAGCAGAGTACAGAGGAAGGATATGGATCCGTGGAGGCATACTGGTAGATATAGAGCAGGATAAAGTAGAGGAGAGAGAGTCCCTGGAAGTGTGCTTGGCTGATGAAAAGGGGGAGGAACTAGATTTGATTGTGTGGGAGGGAGATATAAATGAGACAGAAGGCGTGTGAAGTTTTCGAATCGTAACGGGCGTGCTGCCTGATAAAAGGGACCAGGCAGTACAGACGGAGTGGAGCGCTGGGCAAGAAGGGTTTGCCACACTACTTAAGGAATTTCCAAACCTCCAAGCTGGAGGAGGACTACTACCTGATCCTAGAGACTTACGCGCAAGAGGAGAAGACTTGGAGCCGTTGGAATGGACGGTAGTAGTATATCCGCGCAACCAATATGGGGGGAGGAGGGTGATCTGTCCCAGTCCCCCTTTACTCCAGCCTCAACAAGAGGGAGATTGGGCGAGACACCCCTGCTGTGGGACGGTGTGTGCGGTGAGGAGTACCCCACTGAGGCCCATGACTGACCGGGAACGATTTGGTCTGGCCCCTCAATAAGAAGCGACATAAAGACACTTAAGGTGCGAAGTTATCGTCCTTTGCCTGAACTCAGTTTGATGGACCTGTCTGAACCAATGGAGTTGAGTTTATTTAGTAATAAATCCAGTTGTGTTAAAAATAAGGACCAGCCTCCGACTCTCTTTCCCGCGCCAACACCGGGGTTACACATGACAAACAACGAACCTAATCACAACCCTGTTTCCCCGAAAATAAGACCTAACCTGAAAATAAACCCTAGTATGATTTGTCAGGATGCTCGTAATATAAGCCCTATCCCAAAAAATAAGCCCCAATTGAGTGAAAGTCCACCCTGCACCCTTGTGCAGCAACCAGAAGAAGATGACATGACTGTATTTGAATAAATGTAGACTTTTGTACATAAAAAAAAATAAAGCATCCCCTGAAAATAAGCCCTAAAGTGTTTTTGGAGCAAAAAATTAATATGAGACCCTGTCTTGTTTTCGGGGAAACACGGTAGCAGAAGAAACAATGGAAGTGAAGAAGGAATAGCCACCAGGCTCTCCATTTCTGTCCACTGGCCTCTTCTAACCTTCAAAGTTGCCTCACTCTGCCTAATAACAGGGCTAGACCCCCATGCAGACATCAATCACAGTCGGGCCAATCAATTGGTAAATCAAAATAAGAGGGAGGAAATAGCACCCTCCTTCCATTTCACATGCTGACCCAAGTGACAGTTGAATCAGACATTGGTGAGGGGATAGCAAGGAAATTATGGGATGTGAGGCAGACTGTGTAGGGTAGACATGGGGACCAATTAAAAATGAATCATCATAATTCGTTAAAAATCACTGATTTATTAAATATTTGTCCCTTCCTATTTGTGACTTCCAGAGACTCCGGTGAATACGAAGGGATGATTATTGCTACATTTTTATTTGTTCCCTATAGGAAGAGAGGGAAGGCTAGCCTTTCCCATCTACCTATGGCTTTCCCACTCTGCCTACGGGCCCATCAATCAGCTGATCAACAGGCCCATAGGCAGCCAGGCAGCCCCACAGCCTGTCCCCCACCCCCTTCCCATCCCTCCCTTAGTCGCTGCCGTCATCCAGCACTGCCGCCATCCATCACCACCCACTGCGGTGGCTTCCACAGCCTGCTGTAAGGGACACTGGCTGCCCTTTGGAAAGATGGTGGCTGCAGCTTCTTTTAGGGCAGGGAAGCTGCAGCCGCCATCTTTGCAAAGGGCAGCCCGGATTCCCTTAAGGCAGGCCATAGTGGCAAAGGCCATTGCAATGAGAGGCGGTGGATGGTGGCTGTGGAGGCTGCTGTGCCACAAGCCGCTGCAGATGGTGGCGGCAGCATGGACTGCAGCAGCCGAGGTAGGGAGGTGACAGGGTAGTGGGAAGGAGGGCACGATGTGGGGGGGGGTCAGCTTTCTTTTTTTAACTGATTCATAGTTCATCCTTTCATGGGGAGGAGATTCATGATTTGTCAACTTTGATGGACCCCAAACCTGGACAAACCACTATTTTGGCAGTTCGTCCCCACCTCTAATGTAAGGTCCCATAGTTCTGACCTTCAACTCTTTACACACCAGCCCCTGAGGCTTCCCCCACATTTTGTCTAATGGCAAGGCCACTGCCTCTGTCAGGTAGAATTTCATCTTCTAGGTCAAATACAACAGCAGAAT